TCTTCGTTGATAACATAATGAAGGGTTGCTTCCATCCAGTTATTCAGCTTCCAAAGTGGCCGACTTGTTTACTGAAATGGTAGTCCATCATCACGAATTCCCAAGATTATTGTATCAGATAGGGACAGTATCTTCCTTAGCAACTTTTATCTTCTCTCAGCGGTACTAAAGTTTAGTTCAGCTTGCCATCCACTCTATGACTCAAAACAGTGGTATTAACGAGCTTAGACTACGTTAAATCCACATAAGAAGTCCCTCCTTTCTGTTTGATGGATTTTTTTTTTTGAGACAATTAGAGGATTTGAGCCCGTGTGAGATGAGAGGAATTTCTTTCGTCGATCACTCGGCCGCAAACCCAATCTCGTTTGATGGAATTTTCACTTTGCCATACAAATGACTTCGTACCAATCCCTTTATGGCAGTCCACCACATTCCAAAGCAATAATGGATTGAGGCGGGTCCCGTGGGGGCACATATCCCCTACGAATAAATACAGTTGAATTTTTTTATTTGGTTTGAAGTAAAATCAATACAGTGTAAAGTCCAATGATGAGGATGGCTAATAGCCGATGGTCTGTGACGCCAATGTCTGGTGGCCTTGGCAGGCATCAACCAGTCGTGGTGACGGATGGCGGCAAGCGGCCAACAGTAGCTAGCAGGTATTTACTGATGGTGGCAGGGCTAGCAGTGTCAGGTTGCGGTCACTTGCAATGGTGGCCCAACAATTGTCAATCGATGGCTAGTGGTAGGCATAGGGTAGTGAATGATGACGGCAATGGTAGATTATTTACAATATATTTCAAAATCGATTAAACCTAGCCGTTTTTGAATACATCAAAATCATACTAGATAGTGAATTTCAAATACTTCAAAATTTTGCTCTAAATTTGTTTTACTTCAAACAAAACTTTTAAATACATGAAAATATATATAATGAAATATTAACATAAAGATAATAAAAGCTTTCAACCATTATACCAAGCCTACTCCAAAAATATGATTGCTTCAAGAATATTAACAGAGAACAAATTAAAATCCTAAAAGGATTACCATTTTAAACCAGATGAAGCATATAGTTTTCTTCTCTTCATGTTGTCTCTTTTTTCTTGTTCCTTGTCCTATGGTGGTGGCCATCCACTGATTGAATCATTGAAGGCATATAAACTACTCTGAGCATGCTGGAAATCTGATTTACAGTCAACATCTTCTCAGTTGAGAGATCAGTGCAAATTAGCCCTATTTCTATGGCCTGTCTAGCTTGCTCATGAGCTGTAGCTGATAGCTTCATATTCTCATCTATTATATTTCTCAGTTTTTCATGCTGATGCATTGCAATCCAATCCACAAATCTTGATTCACTGCCTTCAAATTCTTCCCTTAGATGCTTATTGGCTATTAATTGTAGAAGGAATACTCCAAATTTATAGATCTCTGGAACCAAAAATGAGTGTAAGTTGTTAATAACTAGTTCAAAAACATCAGAGAAGGGTAGCATTCAAGAAAAGGCAAAAGAACTCCCTTGACACAATTTTGCCCTTTGAGATATTGTAACTAATCAATACTTAGTGCAAGTTTTAGGAAAACTTAGGCTTCGTTTGGTTCTTCCTTTTCATTTGTAAAAGGTTGTTTTTAAAAATATTGGTTAAGAGAATAGAGTTTTCTAACGGAAAAGAAAATATAAAAAAGCTTTTAAAAACAGCAGAAAAATGAAATTCCCTAAAAAGTATTTCTATAGAAGTGTCCCATCCAAATGAAAAATTATTAGGTGTGGACACCGGACGTAGAGGTACGTTCGAACTCCAATAAAATGTCGACATGTGGATATTTAATTGAATTTATTTTTTAGTTTATATATTTAATATGTCCGTAGAATTTTAAACCAAGCACACCAAAAGCGTATCTAAAGCATAGGTAAAGTGCAGGTAAATCACAGTAAAAAAAGTATAACAAAAGAGCAGTCAAAACGCAATTAAAGTGCAACTAAAATGCAGGTAAAACTCAGTAAAAAATCTCAATAAAAGAGCAGTTAAAGTGCAAGGAAAGCGCTAATAAAGTGCAATAAAAAATACAATAAAAGAGCAGTCAAAACGCAACTAAAGTGCAGGTAAAAAACAAATAATGCGCATAAAAAGTGCAACCAAAGTGCATTACACATGTCAAATTTTAAGTGAACGTCCGAACGTATCTCTACATCCGGTGTCCACACCTAATAATTTTCCCATCCAAACAACGAACAAGAAATAATTTCGCTGATTCTAAACATAAAAGGTGAAAAAATGTCGAAACAAACGAGGCCTTAAAGAAGGATTGGTACTTCAATTTTTGATAGAAAAATGTTACAAGACAAGTTGGAAAGATGAAATATTAATTCTAGAATGAGCTTAGGTTTAGGCAATGGAACAAAAGCACAATGGACTTACCTCTAGAACTGCTATTTGGATGATCATGAACCTTAAGTTTCAAAATCAAAGGCTCCTCACCTTCACTCACCATGACATTAGTAGTCTTCACATCACACCTGATTTGTGGCCATTCTTCTTCCAGAAAAGACATCGCCTCTATAACCTTCATAGCCACCTTCATCCTATCCTTCCATGGAGGAGACCTCATAAGCCACTCCTCTATACTGACTCCTTCCTCTCTCTCCATCACCACAGCCCTCATCTCCCTCCCATCACACCATCCCAACACCTTAACTATGTTCTTATGCCTCACCTTCACTAAAACCCTGCAATCCTTCACAAAACTTCTTCGAAACTCGCTCGATACCTTCCCTCTCTGTATCTCAATCTCTACTTCCTCCCCATCCTTCAAAATCCCTATGTAAACCTCCATCTTCTCCCTCTTCTCCACCAATCTCTCCTTAGAGAACCCATCCGTCGCCTTTGTTAACTCCCGCACAGAAAACTTATGCCTTCCTCCAATTCTCCGCACCAAACAACCAATCGCTGAAGCAATCAACGCCGATACACCAACCAAAAGCAAGATCGTTGTCATCATTTTGAATTTATAATCTCTATCACTCTTAAGAAGACCCGAATGAATAAAGCTCGAATCATTGAACCTTTTGAAGAAGGAAATGGCTCCAGCATCGAATTCTTGACTGAATTGATTGTATGAGAGATTTAGGCTTGAAAGATTGGTGAGAAGAGTGAAGGAGTCGATGGGGAGGAAACCCGAGAGCATGTTGTGGCTGAGATCAAGAGAATGGATTTGAGTGCAATTGAGGATTTGGGAAGGGAAAGGGCCCGCGAGTGAGTTGTTAGAGAGATCGATGGATTGGATGGAGAATGGACAGTATTTCCAGAAGAAGGAGAAGGAGAGGTAGAGAGGGGCGAGCTTGGGGCGAGTCCGGAGGTCGATGAAGGAGAAGGAAGTGGGACAGTTCGGACTGTTGGAAAGGTTGCAGAGGTGTGCGGCGACGATGGTGGATTTGAAAATGTTGGTGAGGTCGGAGGAAGTGGAGTTGCAGTAGCGGAGAGAGGAGTCGTGGAGGCAGTTGTTGGTGATGGTGGAGAGGAAGTTGGGGGGTGGAGGGTGGTTCAGTTGGTCGATGAGGGGAGATGAGAGGGCGGGGTTGGAGAGGAGGAAGTGGAAGAAGGAAATGGTGAGGAGGCCGGAGGGGCTTACGGTGGTTGCCATGGTTTGCGAGGAGTTGTGGGGAGAGAAGGCAAAGAGAACAGGGAGAGAGAGTTTTTGTGGTATTACGGTATTTCCCGTGGTTTGTTGGTTATTAATTTAATTGACGAGGATAGTTTAGTAAAATCAGAACCCTCCCGCTTGTTTCCAACGGATGGGTTCTTTCTGACGCCGGTAGATATAACTTGGGATGTCAATTCGGGTCAACGGGTCGGTTCGGGTCAGTTCCGGATTTGACCCGATAGAATCGAATCCGACATGTTTTTAAAAACGGGTCAGGTTTCTGAATCTGAACCCTATCCGATGCGGGTCCGGGTCAACCCGACCCGAC